GAATTTGTTGATATTTTAATTTAGTTTATATTCAATATTAACAAAGCAGGGTTAAAGAAAAACCTACAATACAGCCCTAAAAGACACAGTGGCACCAGGTAGGATTATTTATTTGTTTGTTTCTCCTATTCTTCTTTATTTATCATCTGTGAAATGTGCCTTTCTGATCACCAGGACACACTGTTTGTCTGACAGCAGTCTGCTCGTGTTTTCATAGCCCAGTGGCCGCCTTGCTCCATAAACGAGATGAGACCCGCGAAAGACACAGACAACTGCTACTGTGGCTCAAATAGCAGTAGCTGGACAAGTCTGGAGCCTCATGAGTTCAAGTTTGCTCGCTTCACTCCCTCCCTGCCATCAGCGATCCACCAAAACCCAACGAGATCTGCGCAGAAAATGTAGTTTGAATCGAGGCTTTTATATTGAAAACACACCCGGCTGATGTGTTGCATTGTTTTAATTAACACTAATCCACCTAATTATGTTTATTTTAATATGAGCTCGACACACATGTGCTGTACTAAAAAAAGAAAAAAAAAAAAGCAGAAGATCAAGGCGTCAGAGGAATTGGCAAATTAGTTTATTTTGTGTTTTAACAATAAACTGCATTTATCCTCTTACATGCCGCAATGATGGAAGATTTCAAAGTATCCTGTAATTAAGTAAGAAATAAATCTGCAAATATAGGGGGAAAAAAATCTGATTTTATCACCAACACCTGCGACAGAAAGCAGTTTTATTCCTGACCCGAGCATTCAGATTCAAAAAGAAAAAAAAAATAGAAGAAGGTTGTCGTCGGTTATGAGTCATTAAAAATATGTTCATAAAATGAAACTACACTTGACAATAAATTACTGTATGCCGTGGTGTATAATTGGGACATTCAAATGCTCGGTGCGTAAAATGTGCTATAATTAGAAACCGCAGGCCCGAGCAGCAGAAAAGCAGGTTTTGTGTAACTTGAAGGCAAGTCTGTTCGTTTCTTTTTTTTTTTTTTGAGGTATCTCGCCAAGGCTGTCGGGTTATTCGTAGGTCGGCCGTTTCCCCTCTCTGCTCTGAATCCACAGTACCCCATTATCCCAGCATCCCGGCGGTTAGGAGGTCTGCACGAGTTCACTGCGTTTGATTCGAAGACGTCGCGCGTGTTCTGAGGCCATTATTTCATCCAGAAGCCTTGTTTACACCTCAGCGCTCGGCCTGTTTGGACAAAGCCGAGTAAATCATTTCTTTAAAAATTACCATTCGTCTTTAAAACGAGACGTGCAGGATAAGAGACTGCATGCGGCGGTTATTTTTCCTTCAGAGAGACAAGTGTTGGACCTCCAACCTCTCACTCGTTTGGCCGCAGAGCAGACAGAATCTGCGTCTATGAGACTCCCAATTAGAACCAGATGGCGCTGGGAGCAACCGAGAGCTAAAACACAGCATTTTCCATAGTGAGCTGCGGTCACTCAGCCATACAGGTGCACACAGTCTGCAGGGGCTCACCGAGACTTCATTTACCCCCTCTTTCTATGCCCACCCCCCTCCAAACCCCAAAAAACAGGAGAACCTACAACGCGCGTAAATGCGCAAATTACGCATTAGTGCAACTCGGTTTGCAGGCAGCTTCTTAGGGGAAAAGTTTTCATCCAACTGCACTGCATTGTCGGACAAGACTGCAGCAAATATAATAAACGAACAATGACATAAAATTCCCCAAAAATTGCAAACATTAAATATTCTCGTTGCGCATTTTACGACCGTGAAACCAGCAGATGGTGAAAAGGCTCGTTGTTCTGCCCATGTGTCTTTAGATTAAAAAAATAAAAATAAAAAAAAGATTTACAGCAGCTTCTTTCACGACAACAATGTTATCAATTCTCAAAATGTAATTCCCGTCAACACTCGTTTGGCCTTTGGGTCGTCCCACCTGTCGAGGTCACAATAACAAGATAGTGTCAGAACTGAAGGCTGCTAAAGCTTTTTTTTCTTCCTCCAACTCGCTGCTTGTGCATCATTAGCTGACATGTATGTCAACTACAACCAATCAGTTATCACAGGACATCAGGGTTTCGCTCTGCATCAGGCCACACTGGTGCTACATTTCAGAATAAAATATATATTTTTATATTTTCTTTTTTTCTTTTATTTTTTTTTTAAATAAAGCAATAATTTTGTGTACGACTTTATTTGTATGTGTATTTCTTAAACTTTGGCCTGACCTCTAAACACACATATTGTCACTCAAGTGTATAAAATGTCATTTATAAAGCGTGAAATATTTTTTTTGAAACCTAATTGTGCTTTTTATTTCCTTATTACGCATAAATAGAACTTATTAGGCCACAATAACAGAAGCTGCTTTTTCCAGCAGATTCAAATCAAACGCTGCAGCTCTGATATTTTAAATATTAAAGACAGCTCCAAACATTGAGGCTTTTGTCTTTGCTATTTGACCCAAAGCAGCGAGGGAAGTTGTGCATTTTCAGGAATGTAGCGGAACGTTTCAGGAAGAAGAAGCTCGAGTTAAAGCCCAGCTCGGTCTCCAACAGAGGTCCCCAAATGTCTGCGTGTTAAAAAAAAAAAAAAAAAGACATGTGGCCCCTTGTTTAATGAGATCTAGCCCTGAGCAACATCTGATTACAGCGTTTTGTTGTGAGAAATAACCACCACAGTCATCCCTACGGTAGGTGGAGACATGGCTGTGAGCGAAAACTAAACATCATTCATTCTGCTGCTTCTTCCGAAAAGGGAAATGAAAACGAAATTAAATTTGTACCAATTTTGTTGTGGGAACGGATGAAAGTCTACAGACTCAGAGCTCTCGGTGTGACAGCTCCACTTCTTTTCCGCACACGTCTCAGAGATATTTACAGTTGTGAAAAGTCAGAATGAGCCCCGCACCAGGCTCCTGTCCTGATCCTCCTCTCGCTCCTTTGTGCGCGCTGCGTCCTGTTATATTGTTGATGGTGCTCCGGCGGCCGACATCCTCCTCATTGACCCCCGGCTCTCCCTCTCTGCCTTTTTCCCGTCTCATGAAAAACGATTCCAGCTCTCTGATTGAATTTTATTCCTTCCTGACCTGGTCCATTCTGCGAGAGCGCCATCAATCTTTGGTCTAACACGACGTTTGTTTATTAGGCCCACACTTGGGCAAGTATCTAATGACCTCAACGAGCCTGATTCTGGTGCGAACCGAGAGCTGGGAGATGCACGCAGGCAGGGTTTAGGGCTGAGGAATTCATTTATATTTTTGAATTGAATTATATTTTGTTTGTTCATAATAATAAAAAAAAAAAAAACAGATCCTGCTCTATAGCCTGAAGTACACACGTGGCACGCAGCTACCCATGTTCTGCTGTTCTGTTGTTGCTGCCTCTCTCCACTTGTTGATCTGAGGCCTAAAGCTACAAAAAAAGCCCAAAACAAACTTCCATTTTACAAACAGGAATTTATACCATGTTGTAATATGTCAGAATATTTGACCATAAGTTGGTTTTAACTTGGCATCTGTCACAGTCAGAGGGACGCGTTACAGCCTCTGTTCAAAAGGGAAACTTCTCGCAATTTGTTTTTTAATCTAAATTATCCCCAAAAACGTTATTGAGCAAAAGAGTTTCCATAGAAAAGCAGGAAGGTAACTTCTAAATTTAAATGTGGAAATTATATATTTGTAGTGTAATTAAAATGATTTTATATATATATTAATAAAAATAATTTTATTTTAATTACGCACAGACATGATTAGTTCTATGTTCTAATGTGTTCCAGATATTCTGTCTAAATTATTATCGTGGTAATGACAGCTATACTCGTGAGTAAATATGCACGTAGACGTATTGTTATTATTGTTGTTGTTGTTATTATTGTTATTATGTTTTACAGACTGTAGCCAAGCCAAGCACGTTTTTTTTTACGCGCACGTTTTTTACGCGAATCCATTCAACTAACATTAGCTGAACATTTTTTAAGCTCATGTATATATTAATGACATTTCAAATAAATATCTGTCTGCGCTTGGTAAATATTGGAAACCCTCAGTGATATAAAATTAAATTTAAAAAGCTGCTTCAATTGTCGACTAGAACTGAAAAGAAAAAAGAAAACAGGCGCATATTTGCATTCCTGGAAAACACTCACTGCTGTTCAGAAAATCCTGAAAATATTTGACTTCTAAGTTAAATTTTAAAGTGATTAAAAGACACTGATTCCATTAATTCTGTTGAGTGGAAACGATAAATCCTCTTAGTGTAAAAAGAGGCCCACAGTGAAACCTACATTTGACTTGTCAGCTCGGTTTTATGACGCCAGTTTAATGTGTGTTCGTCTCTGCAAATAAATATCCCCCAAAAAACTCAACAAAGCTGGAGTTACACGTAATTAAACGTGACGCTCATTGTTGTCTCCACGCAGCTCAGCGTCGCGCCAGACTGCTGAGGATCCAAACATCAAAACTGAAGTGACAACGGGACTATCTTTGGCATGTGTGGTATGATATTAAGTAAGCACTGGTATGCGCCAGTAAACACACAACGCAGTCCAAAACAAAGTAGTGCAGCGCGCAGCCTCTTTCCCAGGTCTGTGGCTCCACGTCAAGCCGATTTCTAATCATCTGTTATGAAGCCTGAACCTCTCTAATATGACACCGAAAAAATAAATTGGATGTGGAGTTTGGAAATAAAAAGCCCAGCAAATAAACACATCCTTTACATGCCTTTTCTTTTTTTTTAAACTTGGACATGAGCGCACCAACTGAGACTTTTTTCATATTTCTAAAAACTTTTTTCCTACAAGAAGAAGACAAAAAGGAAGAATCTTTTTTTTATGTGCGTAAAGTCCAATTGCAGTCCAAATATCCTTCAGTGTTTCCATGAGTTTTGATGAACCCACGATTAAAGAAATCCAATTTAAGGGATCAGATTAAAAACTAAGAAAAGTCTTCCTCACACACAAAACCAACCTGGAGAGCAAAACATCCCTAAAGCCTGCATTCAAGTCTGTAAGAAATGAGGCGTAACTTTAACTCACATAAAATGACAATTTATTAAACAAACAAACAAATCCTTCAAGAATACTTTTCAACAAATGAAGAATCTTTGAAATAGTACGGCGATATACACGTTCCTTTTTCTTACTTTTTTTTTTATATTGGAACAATTTTTTTTTGGAATTTTCCTTTTTTTTTTTTGGACAATTAAGGCAATTCAATTTAGAAACACTTTTTTTGGTGTTTGGTCCATAATATCCGGCTACAGTTTAGAAATAAATTACTATATGCAATTTACACGTCCATGAAAAGTGACACATCTTTAACATATCACATAAAAGCCACAAAAGCAAAGAGAGACTTACGTGTTATTTGCAGTAACACTGTTCTTTAGAAAAAACCAAGATCAAGTCTTTTCTGTTCTTTTTTTTTTTTTGGTTTGTTTTCTGTCTCATATTAGTCCATATGGTGGTGGGCAGGGAAGGAGGATAAAAACGCTGGATTTTACTGAAAAGAGTTCAAACACCGCGAGGAAAATATATCGAGCCTGTTTTGTTTTGTTTTTTTCTTTTTGGTCAGAACTTGCTGCAGTCATACACGAAAGCTCCCGAAGTGCGATAGATGGATTGGCTCGGTGGGAATGACATCTGACAGCTGTTATTCCCATTCACCGGCGAGTTATTCAAGCCAATTCTTTGGGATTCAAACATCTCTCGGACTGAGTGGAAGTTCTGCTGCTGTGCTGGGTAAGCTGCGCCCAGATGGCCCAGGTCTCCGGCCTGGTTGAGGTACCATGAGGTCAGCCTCCCTTGGTGGGGATGGTGGCCCTCCTGCCCAGAGTTTAGATTACCGTGGGTCAGGGAGGATGAGGTGGTTGTGACTGAGTAATCTGGCAACGTTTCGTCCACGGTGGTGCTCGGTGCCAAGTGGCTCGATCTGTCCCCTGCGTAAAGGCTCATGGCTTGCATGTTACAATGATAGGTCGCGTTGGAGGTAGTGGAGATGGAGTTTTGGTTACAGGGGGAGCTATAGACAGACGTCTGACTTGGAGAATAGTTTAGGGACAAAGACGGTGTTATACCTGTCCTGTTGGAGGCGGTGAGGCCGGAGCTGAGCTCGGTGGCTCCTTGTGGAGACCCCCGGAGGGAGGTCATGATGTTGTCTACGCTGAAGCCCTGCGTCGAGGCCTGGCCGTGGTGCTGGTGGTGCTCGGAGCTGTCCATGCCGATGGAGCGGGTGGAGGGGATGCTGTGGGGGCTCCCGCTGGACATGCTGCTGCTGCTGTCTGGACTCTCGATTTTGGGAACGGTGCTCAGGGAGGGCGAGTCGGCCTGCGGCGGCGTCACGGCCCCGTTCTCAGTCTTAATATCCTGGATCCTGACGGGCTGGGAGCCCTGCACCGGCTGCTCCTGCTCCCGGCCTTGCTGCCTCGGCGGCACCTCCTTCTGCAGCCGCTCCTCCTTCTCTTTCAGCGCGTCCTTCTTCTTGAACCGCCGCCGTCTTCTCAAGAAGCTCCCGTTTTCGAACATGTTGTAGGAGTCCGGGTCTAAGGTCCAGTAGCTGCCTTTGCCGGGTTTTTTATCATCACGGGGCACCTTGACAAAACACTCATTCAGCGACAGATTGTGCCTGATGCTGTTCTGCCAGCCCTGCTTGTTGTCGCGGTAAAATGGAAACCTCTCCATGATAAACTGGTAAATCCCATTCAGGGTCACCTTCTTGTCAGGCGAGTTTTGGATAGCCATAGTGATGAGCGCTATGTAGCTGTAGGGAGGCTTGACCATATCCTTGGGCTGAGGCTGGGGGGTGTACGGTCCATACGCACGGGCCATGCTGGCAGGATACTGGTCATGAGCCGCATGAGAGTACATGTTCATAGGTGCTGGCATTCCCGTGTATCCCCCACCGGCGGCGGCCCGGTAGTAGCTCGGGTCGCTGCTGATGTACGGCACGACGCCCAGTGAGTTGGGACTGGAGACGGAGTAGCGAGCCTGCATGTCTTCACTTTGATCCGGCGCAAGTAAAGCTCCAAAATGAGAGTTCCACTTCTCCCTCCTCTGAAGGCTGAGGCGCTCAAATCTCAGTTCCTCGCTGCGTTGCTTTCAAAAAAGGGGGAAAAAACAGGGAAAAAGTCTCAACCCGCAAGTGCAGTTTGCTGTGTTCAAGCTGTCCCCATCCTTGTGTCCCTATGAAACGCACATTGAAAAAGTTCTGAACTTTGGACATCCGTCAGCACAGGACTTTGCGCAGTTAAATTCTTTTCTCCTTTTTGCTGCCAGGGAAGCCCCGCCTCAGAAAGAGCACGAGTCGTCCAATTGGAAGTCAGGCCGTGCAGAGAGAGCAGAAAGCTGCTGGCCACACTCAGAGGGCTTTTAGAAAAAGAAAAAAGAAAAAAAAAAAACGTAGAGGAGGTGTCGGTAACTCCCAGCCCACTCCAGCCAAGACTTCAGACGTGACAGAGCAACTCACATGTACACAATCAGATCATGGAGCGCTTTTACGCACACATGGGCATCCTCTGTCCGGCATGTGGCCGCCACAAGAAAACAGAAAGACCTCAGTTATCTTTCAAATTTACAAATTTCCTCACTGCACATTGCTTTGGATGCAACACAATTAAATTAATTCTGATATAGTATTTATTTAAACTCCTTTTACGCAGGAGATGCACTGGATTTATTGCGCACAGCCTTTTACAGCGTCTCCTCTTAACAAGAACCTAATGAACTGCATTGTGTTTCCCTTTTTTTTACAGGAAAAGATACAAACACCAGTAAACCAAATGGCGGCATTTACGCGCAGTTTAACGTCTTTAAAGTGCATTTTTATTAGTTAAAAGACTCAGCACCAGCAGCAGATCAGCGTGACATCAAAGCAGAGGGGGGGAGAGAGAAGTGCGCATAGCTGGCAGTGGGCGGTTAAGTGCGATCTCATTACAACGGGAATTAAAAGGCAGTTTGGGCTGAGAGTGACCAGAGGTGTCAGAGTTTATTCAAGTAAAAAAAAGGCCATCTAAAGACGAGGAACCAAATGGGACGACCGCCACCACACCTCACATGTGTGTCTCCTCATCACAATGTTTGAATATCTGTCGTGATGTCGGAGGCCCAACCCGGAGTTTATTGTCCCAGTAGCTGAATAAACAAAAGCGGGTCGTTTAAATTGCGTTTTGCATTAATGGGGGAATTATTTAAAGGGTTTTTATTTTCTTGTGCACAGAGAGTGTAATTTAAAAATCCCCCTAAAGAGTTTCTGAGGTGTTTCATAGCAGTTTATGGAATTACACACTAAAAGGCCAGGAGAGAAAAATAATAAAAAATAGGAGCAAAAAAAAAAAAAAAAAGTCCAATAAGCCGACCGTGACGGCCTCTGTATCGCCCTGCTGTCAAGGGCGACTGCGCATGAAATTGTTAATGATCATTGTGAGGCAAAGTTACAGTCCCAATATCGCTGTAATCCTCCGCAGGTCGTCTTAATTAAATGTCCGTGCAGTGGCCTGGTGCTCCGCCGGTTTCTCCTTACATGGACCCGGGCATGAACTTTTTCCACCGCCCTGGGCTGTTTACTCAATTCACGACGGGCCTTTTACTTAATACCACGGCCTGCCCACCCAGTCCTCCTCAGCTCGGTATTATTTAAAGTATCCAACACTGGAGCGCAGTGAGGAGGCACGACGGAGCACCAGGCGCAAAACCTGGGACTTTCCTCTACTTTGTTTATCACAAATAACTGCAACAGCATTATAATAATTATTAAACAAGGATGCTTGATTAAATATTATTTGGGTTTTAATGTAATTTAATTTAATCTTATTTGATGTCTCTTTTTGTTATTGTTTGTTTTAAAGTCACTGTGACGGTTTTTCTCCTGAACCAGCGGCCTGGAGCACAAATAATACTGAACATTATTCTGTTATTACATCCAGGAAATTTAAAGCAACAAACTATTTTCTAAATGAGTCTTATCAGCTTTGATGGTTATTACAAAAATCAAAAAGAATGTTTTAAAATAAGAATAATCTAAACTTCTAAAGCAGAATGAAATGAGGATAAAGGGGATGAAGCCAGTTTGGCATCATCACTGTGACCTTGGCTCCCTCTGGCGTCCACAGAGAGCAAAGTTCTGCAGTTTGTCCAAAATGTGTGCAAAAAATGTTGATTTCTAGAATTTGAATAGAATCAAGCTCCAGTTTATTTGAACCCTTCATGAGGCTCCTCAACCACCCACTTCAAACCTGCAGAGAAACAACACAAATACTTTAAAGCACCAAACTGGAGCCAAAGCGTTCAGTTTGTTGTATCCAAGAGCCAACAAATATGGACTTATTGGAACACACCACACTCCTGTATATTATAGATGCTGCTGAGGTTCATTGATCCACATGAGGAGCATGAGGAGCCTCTTGCAGACCAGATGGTTGCAGAACATTTATTAGAGGCTGCTGCCACCTCATGATCCACTTCAGTACTGCAGCCACCAAAGAGGGCAGATAAGGGAAGACTGTGGCTTTAAAGACAACTTGTGCACTCCTGTAATGAGCTGCTAATTGACTCTGCTATAAAAATCCACAAATAGTTCATTATAAACATTTTCGTAGTGACATAATTGAAAATGGTCTCTTTATAATAATTAATTATTCTCGTAGGCGTGCAAATAACGTTTCATCAACCATCAGTACCACAACATACTTTCATTTGCAGCTAACAGGTATTATTTGTATCCGACTGAGCAAACAGATGATGTGGATTCAGTGCCAGAAACTTGGCAACCACAGAAAAAAGAATAATATAAAGAATAAACAGGTTTGTTTAAATGGTTCAGTAAACCCAGTGTATCTGACCAAAACTGTACCTTAATCAAAATATGAAATCCTTTCATCTTGACTTTTAACTTCACCAGAATATTTTTATTAGATCCTCCCATCAAAACTGAACTAAAACTGAATATATAAAGCAAATAGAGGATAATATCCATAAACAAGAAAAGTCCCGATTTGAAACTTTGGCTAAAAATGAACACAAATCTAAAAAAATCTGATCAGGAATTAATAACAATGATGAGTGTGTCTAAACCCGAATCCTCGTTGTTTATGGTGAGGTCTATTTTAGTGGATGGTTTCAGTTAATTAATTAGAAAAACATCATTTTCTACACAGGACTAAAATAACTTCCATACATGTTCGACAGTCACTGGAAATGACTGGAAACCACAGTTCTGACACAACATCAAACAAGTTCTGTGGCTTCTCCTGGTTCTGACCCGTCCCTCTCTACGTTCCCCGTCTCATTCATTTCAGTGACATCTTAAATTAACTGGTTGATATTTGCCCAACATGTCATGTGTAGCTGCACTTCTACAGCCAACTAAAGCTACCGGCTTCTTTCACCGTCATCTTTTCCATCAACTTCCAGAAAGTCCAGTGACGACAGGAATCATGTTTCTGAAATCAGTCACAAAATCATCATGTGAGTTTATCAGTTTATGCTTTTATCTGCTGGAGCATTTTATATTTCACATGAAGAGTTCTCGGCTGTTACTTTAGCATTATGTTAACTTCATATTTTGCTCTCTGTGTCTGTATTCTTTTAGTTTGACAAGGTTTAGACTGTGTATAAGGATGGATGGATGGATGGATGGATGGATGGATGGATGGATGGATGGATGGATGGATGAGTATTTCCTCAAGTCAGATGACCCAGTTGGTTTCATTCCTGTATTTGTTCCTGCTAGGAGTCGGGGTAGTTGGATACGAGATGACACTTGTCTCGAGTTAATTTATATGAAATGAAGGGTGGGTAACGTGCCCTGCAAATAAACACATTAAAATGGTAAAATTGTGCTTTTTCAGTTTTTCAAACACACAGAACGATCAATAAAATCACAAAAACAGACTTAATTTACATGCTCGATGTAAAATAACATTAAAACCACGTAACTGTGAACAACGATAAACTAGAGATAGTTGAAGGAATTGATAATAGTTTTATATAAAATATTAAAATATTTATCAGACATTATATATGTTTTTATTTAATCGAAAAAATGTGAAATTTAAAAGTATATTTGTAATATTAAATACAACTAATGGCAACTAGAAAGTGGAAACAGAGAAAGAAGAGTCGGTTCTATCATTATCCACAGAGATGTGCTGGATAACACGTGTAATATAACGTCTGTACACCACAAAATATAAAATTACTTTTTCAGGGATCTTATTTTCTCCGGGTCTCTATTTTTAACACTGTTTTTTTACACAAGGTGCTTTTTTATAATGTGTACTTATTTTATTTTTATAATGTATATTTGTATTTTTTTTATTTCTGCTGCTCTTACATCATTCTTTATTTTATTTTTTAATTGTTTTCCTACATATAAAGCTAAATCAAGAAAACGCATATAGACTTCCACATACCTGCTCTAGAATGTACCCGTGCAAATGGCAATAAAACTCTATTCTATAATTTTAGAGGTTTTTACAACAAAATATTGACTGAATGCATTTTCATCGGCATAGAACATCTACAAGCACTGGTAGTCTGCCAATTATTATTATTGTTGTTGTTGATGATGTTTTTGTGTGTGTTTATGAAGATCCTTCATTAAACATTAAAATTGTGCAAATGAAGAATTTTAATCATAAAAAAATATTTGATCAGACGGCTGTTTTCCGTTATTTTGTGTTATTTAATCTAATTTCTTGATCTCAGCACCACATAAATTGCAGCCGGAGCTCTTCCTGTTAACTGTTCTCTTCATTGTGTGACAACTTCCTGCTGCTGGGCCACTTCATTAGTCTGCTAATTTGGGATATGAGTGCATTTTTAATATAAATCACGGATCATAAATAATCTGACGTGCATTCAGGACACTCTTCAGCACCACGGACAGCAGAGATATGAATGAGATCTGTAGCAACAGTAACAGAAGCTCATTTTGAAAGCGTTAACAAACAATCATTCTAACATCAGAAATCACGTCCACATCATTCATATAAGTTCACCCGCTCTGTATTTATCTCATCTCGTACAATTTAGAGGATCAGTCAGTCAGTTGGTGCTAAATCTTGGGTGTTTAAAGTCAAACTCAAGGATCAGCTTTAACATAAACACCAGCTTTATCTGCACTCTGGATTTTAATGTGACAAAACGACCAGCTGACTGTTTGGCACAAAATCCGAAACATGAAATGTAGCTGAAGCGCCTTAACTCTGAGTCGCCACTAGATGGCAGCACAAGTCAAAGCAACAGGACTGAGAAGAATAAAAGATGTTTCATGTCAGAGGTACCACTTGGACACTCAGTGTGCCTTTTGTGCTTTATATCCCCAGATGAATGCTTTCAATTACTTTCTTTGCATCACAGTCATTCAGGAAAGTTTCTCAGAATAAAGACGACAAATTACTCATTGATGATCCTCAGCTCCAAACTAGATCTACTCTCTTTTAAGCAGATGACTGTTAAATGAGAAGAAACTACTAATAACACGCCCCTGGTGCTGCTCAGTGAGGTGACAGTGGCTCTGACTGGTGCCGGCTCATAATCCAAAGGTGAATCTCGAATATTAAAAGTGCAGCTTTATTCTTTTAAATGACGACTCAAAGCCAACATATTTAAAGAGTCAAGAATAAAATAAAATGATCAGCTGCTCTGTTTTCCACCGTGAATCAGGTTTTGAGTCATTTTGTGCACAAAATAAGGACAAAGAAACGTCCCTGCTGCAGAGAAAAAAGGGGGAAATTTAAAGAAAAGGAAGGGAACTGCTCAGAAACATACTTGGTTTCCTGAAGAAACATTTATTCCTTAAGACATCAAACACTCGCAAATGATCCTTTACAAATAAATCTCTTGGGTCGCTGCAGGAGGAGTATATGAAGTGCACGAATAAACATTAGTTCAGGTTTGTATTATTTCGGTAAAATGTGTTTATTGCGTGTTGAAGTCCGTCCCGTGTTGAAGCGCTACAGCAAAGTCCTCACATCACAACCACCGCCTTAAAGAGGTCAGAGGTCACCGGAGAGATTTTTTTTTCCTTCTTCATCGGCGTCTCGAGTTCGGTTAAGGCTCAAATCAGAGGAAGCATGTTTTAGCAGTTCTAGCTGTTCCGGGTCACATTACGCACGGCTTTACGTCCTGATAGACACTCTGGTGGTGGTGGTGGTGGAGCTGGTGGTAGTAAGATCCTCCGCTGCCGGGATGGAGGGAAGAGATTCCGTTTAGGTTCAAAACGAACTCCTTCCTGTCGCACACGGGAGCCGAGTGGCCGGAATATCGAGACAGTCCCACTGCAAGCAAACAGGACACAAGAGGTCATCGTGTGTGAGGCCGAGCGCTGAAGCTGTCGAACGAATGGGCTTTTAAAAATGTTCTCAATGATCCAGATCGTCCAACACAGAGCAGGATTAATCAGGAAAAAACTGATATGTGCCACTTTAATACCTTTTGAAAATAATTACTAAATTAAATTAAATTACCCTTTAATTAATAAACAAACATATTTGACTGATGCTTTATGGGTCATTTATGCAGTATTGTTTAATTTACTTCAGAGTGGAAAGATCTGGATGATGTTTGTTGTGGGTTTCTGTTTCTTGTTTTCTGTTTTTGTTTTTTTTTTTTTTTTTTAAATTAAACATCTGCTAGTAAAAATCTTAGTGAATAAAATTAGAATAATCAAATCCACAGTCTTTAATCTTAATAAGTCACTAATAAATGCATTTTATTGCAAATAAAATCTTAGTAGGTGAGTGACACTTGGCTAATTCTCTGGATTTTTCTGATAAACTCAGGAAAAAAGAAGACAAAGCAAATATCTTTGTGGAAGAAAGTGAAAAAAAATTACAAAATTAAGCGTATGACTTCCTTGTAAGCATTTAATAATTATTAACCATGAATAAAGCCATTAGTTGTACTAAAACAAAGCCCTCACAAATGTGTTTCATATCAATTTGTTCCCTCCTGTGCTTTATAATCATTTAAATTTTTTATTTAAATAGATTTTTTTTTTTAAAGATTAAATTTAAAGATAAAATGCTAAAAGCCCTGGAGGCAGATGGAGCTCGCATAAAGGCCACAATGAAGCTGGATTCAAGTAAAACACATTTTGTTCACAATAAGCATGTGACTGCGTGTTTAATGTCATTTATTCACTCAATTTGTTGCTTCTCTTACTGTGCATTGTTCTGGTTTTTCCAAAACACTTCTCAGCACACAGGCCTCTAAATGTGGCTGCTTTGAAGATGCAATCAGATTATTTAAAATATAAATCAAACACTAGGCTGTATGAGGGGGGAAAAAATAAATAGACATTACTTTAAAATGCATGATAAAAAAAAAAAAACTAACTGGAAGACAGAAGCTCGTTTTTAAAGATTCTACTTGTGCCTCTTTTTAATCTAAACAACTTGATGGTTGAGTTCAGTGTCCAGGCGGCTGCTCTGGTTCGCTCAAGTTTCACATATTGTTAATATTTTATTCAATATGTGCATTTTCTTTCATCTGGTGCAACTTGATCAAACAGAAACCTGAATAGATTTGTTTATTAGTGGTTCAAGGAGCCTGAAACAAATGTGTTCTGTCTCATAACTGATGAGCTTCAGATCAGTTATGGCCTGAACTGGAACTAGAGAGCAAACAGCATTCAGCTAACATAAAATAGTGTTGGTGAGGTGACACATAGGAGAGGCTCTACCTGAGATGTCAGAAGAATCTCGTGCGTTATGGTGCAGGTAGCTCTGATCCAGAGAGTAAGAAGACATCCCAGAGTGCACGGCGGAGCTCTGCGCGCCTGAAGCCAGACTCTGCTGTTTGATGTATGAAGACACTCCAGGTGAGCTCCAGTGTGACGCTGCGTTTGCGTACGGAGACTGACAGTCCAAAGCGCCCACCATGGCCGGGGAGGACTGCAGGGGGCTGCTGCTGCTGTCCGGACAATAGTCTGCGTTGGAGGCCGCCTGACACGCGGCCATGTACGATGACCCGGAGCCTGAAGACATGTGCGGGACGTGGTGTCCTCCTCCGAGCCCCTCGAACCCCCCAGGAACCGTATTCCCCATCAAGTCTAAGTTATAGCTGTTATGACACGCTAACGAGCCGGAAGATGGCTGGAAATCGAAGCTCTGCGGCAGCATGGATGCGCCGAACCCGATACCGTTCATCATCCTGTACATGGGCTTCAGAGCCTGGCATTTCCTTCGGAAGCCCCGAGGTCTGCGCCGAAAGGAGCCCTCCTCGAACATAAACTCGCTGCCCGGGTCGATGGTCCAGTAGTGGCCCTTGCCAGGTCTGCCCAGACCTTTGGGCAGCTTGATAAAACACTCGTTCAGAGACAGGTTGTGTCTCACAGAGTTTTTCCATCCCTGATATGAGCCCCTGAAGAAGGGGAACCGGGCCTGCAGGAACTGGTAGATCTCGCTCAGAGTGAGCCTCTTGGTCGGTGAGCTTTGAATTGCCATCACAATCAGAGCAATGTATGAGTAGGGGGGCTTCTCGGGTCGCCTCAAGCCTGAGTTTCCCTTTTTCCCTTTAGCTGACGCACTGTGTGCGTTCTCCATCACCGGCTGCGCGCTCAGCAGCGCTGCGCTCAGAGCCGCTGGACCGGAGCGCACCGGGGTGGATGGATCCAAATGTTGCTGGGAAATCTCAGTCGTCATGGTTGCACCTCTTTTTTAAGATTCTGGCTCTCTACGACACGTGGACCACTCACTTGTCATGTATGTCGAGCGCTATTAAAAGTTTCCTGAGGCAGTGTTTAAAGAGGCCAGTGTCCATTTGCGATGCGCTGCGAGGTTGGAACCGTGAAAATCAAGAAACGCCTGCCGCTGTTCCTCCTTCCTCTCTCTGTCCATTGCTGGCAATAATCCCATAAGAGGGGGGAAATAAAGCTCCTCGACTTTGCTTGCGCATATCCACTCGGCCAAACACAACTCGACCACCTATCAGTTCTTAAATCTCCCACTGCCCTTCTACCCCCCCAAATCCCTCCAAGAAATCGCCAGGAACTACTCCCTCCCCATCTGGCCGGGATCCAGACTAGAAGCCGGACACGGCGCAGCGGAGTAAGACAAATCTCCTCCCACGAATCATTTTCCAAAACACCTCTGTCCACATTTGACAAGCATCAATACCTGACACAAGCTGACAAACTACAAAGCGACAGAGTTTGGATGAAGTGATGCCATTTTTCCTTCCTCACGTGGTGCCGCAGCAGACAGCGGAGATGCCTCAGACTGTAAAGTTGCACAGGACAATTCCTGAGTCCTGATTTGTTTGGGATCTGCTCAGGGTTAGGGCTCTGACATGAGAGGAAGCATGCTTTTTCCATCAGAGCGTGCCAACATGGGCTACCACACACAGCGCTCAAGTGTCAGCTTACCTCCGCGCGTCTGGATTACATCCCCGGAGGAAAGAATTTATTGGGAGAATCCAGCAAAAGTCTTGGGAACGACTCAGGCAATCAAATATGCAAATGTGATTTCTGCAACGTTTTTGTACTGCATATGCCCTCTGAAACCACCACTGAAAATCGTTTCCCATCAGCGGACTTCAAAGAAAAGTCCAGCCAGACTATCAGCAGCATCCAACTTGTCACCCCCCGCTGCGTCCAGGATGCGCAGCTGTTTTAAAGGAAATTTACTTTCTAGTCTCAGAAGAATGGGCCAACGTGGATTTCTTCCTATTGTGGGTCGGAGTTTGGCTCAGGATGCACGGTTTGTGTGCAGCCTTTGTGTGGTGGCTGAGGCGACAGCTATTTGCAGGCCAGAACAGAAAATATAAATACTGGATGCCTCAATCTGGCACCAGCGAGTAAATACTTATATGGTCATTTCTTCTGGAAGCATAAAGGCCAGAGGGAGCTAATTAAGATTTACAAATTATGTGCAGAAGCTGGTAGAGAGATGTCTTTTCTATTACAAAAATCTCTAAACCTAATTGTGTGATCTATAGGAGGAGGCTGATCCACCTGCAGCTAATTCACTTTCTAAACACTTTGCAGGGTGGAGTCATGAACACACGCCCAGACCAACATCCCAGCACTGGCACCCACTGGGTGCTAATGCCTCAGAGATGTGTCAGTCCTTATTTTGGCTCCACAACAATAGCCTGTGATTATTCTGTCATTCACATTATCGCACAACAATAGAAAAACACATATCAGCATGAGTACGTTTTTTTTATTTCATGAGCAGAGTTTTTGAGAGAGACACATAAAAAAAACAGTCAAAGTGCATCTTTAAACACATTTGTTGAGCAAAAACAAGAAGACAGTAGTCTGTTCAGTAACATGTACAACAAATAGTTTAATATTAAAAGTCAAATTTGAGAGAAAAAAAATTAGGGAGGAAAAAAAAAGTACAACAAGTCAGACACAATGCCACCACGTTTAATTTAGTCCCAACACAGAAAAGTTTTTAAACTGTCTTTGGTGTTTGGTCTCCTCTGTGTCCACCATCAGTGCACTTTGATGATTTCTAATCACCAGATAAAATATTTGTGATCATGCCAGGCTGTCTATGAGAGCAGCCCACCGCCGTACACGTTTGGCACATGCGCCGTACAGGAGTCCACATGGCACGGCGCCCTAACGTATGGAAATGAGGCAGGTGTATTTGAATGATGCATCATCAGTTCCGAGTAGCGCGGCCAGGTGAAGGCAGGGGGGAGAGCTACGTGTCCTTGGTGCGAGTCTCTCTTGAAGGGCTTGCTGAGGATGCTGTCGATAGCAAACGAGCTGGTAAACTTGGGGCCGGAGTCCGTGTTGGTGGCCGCAGCGGACTGCTGAACGCTCTGCGGCTCCTCTGCCTGCTCGGACGCCTCCTGCTCCCGGCCGAACTTCTTGTTAATGCGCTTTCTTCTGCGGCGGAACACCCCGTCAGCGAACGTGTATTCGCTGTGCGGATTGAGCATCCAGTAATTGTCCTTTCCCCAAGGTCTCGACGGGTCCCGGAGCACTTTGAGAAAACAGTCATTTAGAGACAAGTTGTGTCGAACCGAGTTCCTCCAGCCGGTGTAGCTGCCTCTGAAGAACGGAAACTTCTTCATCAGGTAGTCGTTTATCTCCGCCAACGTCAGACGTCCGGAGGGAGAATCCCGAATGGCCATGGCGATGAGAGCGATGTAGGAAAACGGGGGTTTGGGTCTCCGTGTGTACGGCTTGGACTTGCCGCCGCCGCCGCACGGAGCAGCAGGTGGAGGGCTGTGCGCCACGCAGTCCCCATCCGACCCCAGCTCCTCCTCAGCGGAGAGAGGAGATCGCGCATTCCGCTCGGCATCCACATCCCCGGACATCTCCAAGTGTTTCATGTAATAGTGGCTTCCGCACAACACCTCCAGCTTCATGCTTGCAGCGGTGCCAAGTCGAATCAGTCCAGTCTTATTAAACTCCAGGGAGCTCTGTGCGTAAAAGTCTTGTGCGTCAAGACGCGGAGTGCCTTGAACTGTATCCAAAGAGTTGAGTCTGTGCAATCATACCTGCCTGAGCACTGAAGCCCGTCTTACCTATAGCGTGTGTGAGCAGCAGCTTTTACCCGGCTCACCTAGACCAACCCAAGAGGGCGGGGCCAGAAAGACACATCACTAAACATCCTCGTATTGCGTGCGTGATAGTCCACGATAAATCATAAGCTGCATCCTGAACACATTATATAAGGTTTAGCGATTAATTAGAGGCGATGTTCACTTTACACCGCGTTCAGCAGCTCCATCTGTCTCACCTGTGAAATGTGAGCCGGCAGACACCTTGGGACTGTTTCACCTGAGACAACCAGGGGGCGTAGAGTTCCTTTGTATCTGGAAGGTGCGGTGCCTGCAGGTACTTTTATTTGTTTGTTACAGGAAACGCTGGAATCACAGCCGGAGCTATACTTTTCCATCCACACTGATTTATTTTACATCCTCACAATGCTGAAAACAATATGCTGCACTACCTTTCAATGAAAGGGATGCTCCGTGTGCCAGCAGTATTTAGACATTCACGTGCTCTGAAGATCTCTCACATCAAAAGGTGTGAACTTCTGATGTCTCTGCCAACTTCACAGCCCACATAGAAACCAGTGTTATTGTGTTTCTCTCTTAAACAAATAAATGGGTCCTGAACTTCCTGCTGCTCCGGTGCCAAGATAGTGGATTGACCGAACAAATTACTTGTTGTGATTTCTCTCCGATTCAAGCGCCTTGAGGTTTTGGAAGGATTTTGCAGAGGGGTGGGGGAGGCTCCTGTGATGTGATTCCAGGGAAGAAGTGCAATTATGACTACAAGGCCAACAGGTGAACAGGCCGATTGAAGCACTAACTCTATATTATAGCCTTTAATGTTTCACTGCGATGCACAGCCAGGATCTCCTCCCACTCAGGCAGGTTCACCTGGGAGCTACGTTGAACCCAACAACCTGTCCTCTGCCTTATCTCCTGTAAATCAGACCTCATCACAGGCTGTGCTGCAACGGTGTCACTAAATATTTAAATGGGGAAAAAAAAATAACCTCCTTGTATACCATCTGGAAACCAATGTTGACATCACACTCCTGCTGCTCAGACATCATCAGTGTGCCAAGTGGTTCCACTTTTGTTTATGCAAACTGCAGGTTTTAAAGTGTTTTGCATGTAGGTTACACATGTTTGCGCTGGTGTCAATGTTTTGATTTTCCCAGTAATAATCTGTTTGCATTGAGGGTGACACAGAATCTGTGGTGAAGTCACTATTTTTGAATGGTGGCATGTCAAGGGTGGATTCCTGCAGGCTAACCACACAATGACAAGAGCTCAAATACCATGTATTCATCCTGTTCGCTGCATGTGGCAGCTTGTGAGGCCATCATGTGTGTGTGTGTGTTCTCATATACATCGTGTTCTGCCTAATAACAGCTGTCTGGGAGGGTGTTATAGCTGGAATTGTACGTGTGCATCGCTGGTAAAAAATAAAGCATGCTATATTAGACTGAACTTATGTCACTGCACTTTCTGAAGACTATTATTATTCCAGTCTTTCAATTTCGGTTATGATTATATGTAACTGTGACTGTGTCTTTGGAGAGAGAAATAAACTTAACTTTAAAGCAAACTACTCATCTGTTAGTGAGGTTACTCATATGCAGTTCTGTGTTAATTAGAGAATAGAGCGCTAGATGTTTGTACTCTTTGGGCTGGTGCATGAAGAAAGAAAAAACTAATTTATAACTATGATTTGCATACAGTTATAGGATAAAAATATCATAGACAAGTGTACGTTCTGATCCTAATCTGTCTCTGCCTCTGCTAAGTTCAGCGTTATAAGATTTACGAGCACATTAGACAACAGAAATAATGAGGGGCCTTTTTTTTCTTTTTTTCTTTGCAGACATCAGATCAGATAACATCTTTCAGTTTTCATTAACTCCGTTCTGAAAGCACAGATACCTGCGAGCTATAGAAATGGAAAACCTTCAAAGAATGAAGTGCGATCCAGACCGAGCAGCACAATCATGACAACAATTTCTCCCTTTGAGCGACTCATAAACGCAGCATTTTTCTTGTAAAACTGATTTTAAAATTTCAGGTAAAAGGCATCTATTGTAGCTCTGACGTCGGCTTCACCTGTTCATATGTTGGAACGAGGAACATGTGAAGTATTGACACAGTTTCTTAACGTTCAAGAATCTCAAACTGATGACGAATCAATAAACTGGAGCTTATTGCAGGCCAGCGTATACGTAACATATCGGAGCTCTGCAGTCGCTCACAGTCAGTTTCCTCCACGGCTCTCTGAGCTTTACGCTCCATCTGATCAGCACTGTGCGGTCTGGAACTTAACCGGGTCCAGTGGTAACTCATGAAAGAAACACAGTCACAACCCCATGATTTCCAATTAGTTCCTTCTGTCGAGTTGTTTGTGAAGGAAAATAGTTTTCCAGTCGTTTGTCGGAGGGCACGAGGAAGAAGAATCTTAGTTGGTTGCATGTGTAAAGAACAAAGCTGGCGGCTAAAAACGACACAGGAAGGGCAACACCGAGCGCAGCGACGGTAGATTTAAGGCGCTCTGAATCACGCGTCCTTTTACTAAACCGCCTCTCGGTGACTCCTCAGCTGCACAGATTTCGCTGATGGTCAGTTTTAGAGCTTTATGACATTATGATGCACCGTCGACGCAGGGATACGAGACGAGACAATGAAGATTAAGTTTTCCAAACACTTGAGATGTGTTTACTTTGCTCGTGTGCGTCAGTGAAAATTGACTGTTTGTGTCTGTTGACTGACTCTTCTGTTGTCAAGGTAGTGAAGATATACAGCAGGCATACAGTCCAAGGCCTGTAAATACAGTCTGGTTGTTTGCTGATTGGTGCATGAATGTTCTTCACATTACGTTTTCTACACCCACCTTTCAGCTAATGCAACATAATTCTGTTTATTAAATAGATCATTTTCTTACACATTCAGGACAGATTATGACACTTTTTTTTTTTAAAAAGATACGACAAAAATATTTAAACTTCGCCCAGCATCTCAGTAATGTAAACTGTTGCGGCAAGACGTCTAAAAATAGCCCCGTGAAGATGTCAAACTGACAAGGATTCAGTTTGCATAACTCCCGCTGAAGGCTTGTGTCTCTCTCTCTATGCAAACACAAAGCTTTCGCGTGCAAAGCTGCAGGTCATTTGAGATGTTCAGATGTTTTGCAGGAGATTAAGCCGCCTGCGAGTAAAGACCTGGGTAGCTTTAGAGTTTGGGCGGCATTCAGTTGTTCAAAATGCAAATAGAATTTCATGTTGATTCTGAGCATTCCTTCATGCTATTTATGGAAGGCATGTGTTTATTATCACTGTACAATACGTTCCACCTCACGATATGTCGTCAGTCACTAATTATAGTATTTTGACAGCTATGTTTTGAAACCACGTTGCCAGTGTCTCAGTATTTAACTGGAGCATTATGGTTTTTGCACAAACATGTGCGTGTTCTTACTCACTGCCAGACAGCTTATAGACACGACTTCTTCGTGTACATTCGCTCCCACATGTTTCTTCACGTACGCCTCGTCCCACCCTCTCAACGCGTTCTGTCATTTATGTGCGTTCTTTTTTTTTATTATTATTGTGACTTTTTGTAAATTTCACCGCACGGTCTTTGCACTCTAACAATAATAATAACTGATCCGTGAGACACAAATTTAAAGATGACAGTAAACAAAATTCATGTTGGCTCACGTCTCTTGACAGGAAAAGTAGCAGCGAATGAAGGAATGAACGCAGGCCCTTGCCTGTTGCTGGTTTGGGAAGTTTCTATTTTGGTCCTGTCTCTTTGGAGGTGAAGTAAATGAGCTGCCAGACAAATGGGAAGAAAAAGAAAAGCACATAGAAGAAGCAATTAAAAAAAACACACACAGAGAGGTTATGTTCAGGTGCTGCATGGTTTTCTATTGTGCAAGTGTTTTATGCTACGTTGTGTTTTCATCATTTTATAGTTTTCAGTTGCACAATTTTAGATGTTATCGTGTAACATTGTAGTAATTAAGTGGCGCTTCTCAATTAAAAACAAAAACAATCCAAAGGTGAGTTTTAGAAAAGCAAATCCATCAGTAAAACTAATAATGTTAAAAGGCGGAGCAGCATGCAGAAAAACTACAAACTACAAAAGTACACAAGAGCAGCGGTTCTCAAACTGGGGGTCGGGACCCTCATGGGGGTCACAAGATCATTTCAGGGGGTCGCCGGATCATTGTAAAAAAATAATAATAATAAAAAATAAAGCCTATATTTATCAAATAAATGTGCATCAGGGCTGTCAGAATTAAAACTTCTTCCCAGTCTGTTATCGAACTTGTTCATATTATGATTTGATTATGCGATATTATTATTATTTTTTGCTCTTTTTATTTTTTTTCCTTTCATTTGTTTGAAATAAATTCATTCATTCATTCAAAAGAAAATTAACGTGTCAATGTAAAGAGATGAATCAGTGGAATTAACACATGAATTTTAACACATTAATGCATGAACAACAAAGTTATTACTCATGCTATATTTAAAATTCAAATCGGGGGATCACAAACTTATGTTATCTTGGGGGCCGTGGCTCAAAAAGTTTGAGAACCACTGTGGTAGAGGAAGAAGCTCGGTCAGCAGAGAACAATAAAAAACGTGTGCAGCTCCCATTTACATCAGGGGTCATTTCAGTTAAGACCATTACAGCATCCTGCGATAAGGACTGGTAGGCCGGGTCGTAAAAGCTTTTAGGTGTCTGTGAGTGCTCCACTTAACTTCTCTCTCTAGTTTAAACAAAAAAAAAAAAAAGTGAGGGAATGAGGTAAACTCTGCCACAGACCAAGCACCGAGTGGGGGGGCGATGTAGTTAGCGAACGGGGAAACAATTTCCCTGACTGACTGGAGGTATAACGTCATACCAGCGTGAGCGATGGCAGGGAAAGCTTCGAGGAAAGGGCTCGATCCTGTTCTCCATTTATTCTCTCTGGGGTTCTGGGTGAGCGAGGTCCGTGTTGAGGCCTTGCGTGTGAGCGGA